TGGCTACTCGATCTCTCCTCCCAGTATTCTCCTTCTATAGATATTCTCTGCCTGCCAGCCCTGGCTATCCTTTCTCCTGCCTTGCTATTGGCCATTCAGTTCTTAATTAGACCGTCAGGTGTTTTAGACAGGCACAGTAACTAACACATTTTCACAGAGTTAAACAAATGCAACATAAACAAAAGTAACACACTTTAAAATAACATTCTACTAAACTCTTTATCTCTTTCCTTCACAAACTTCTATCTTCTGCCCTAAGTGGTACCTATAGAAACAGCAATATTCTACTTACTAATCCTGCCAGACGTTATTATGGTCCACCATAGTCATCAGCCAGTCCTCTTCTAGGAGCTCAACTGATGGTAGCTGCCAACAAAAGTGCTCCCAGGACAGGACATGTTCAGGGTCTTTTCTCTGACTCAATTTAAAGTCAGTGGCCTCAACCTCATCACTGCACAGATTGTGGTTTCTGCACAGGTACCATATGTCATCTCCAGGCAGTGTGCAAGTTCACACTGGATCTCTCTGCTCAAATCTGTCAGAATTCTTTATGCATTCACTTGGCCAAATGTTCAGAAGCATACTGCCCAAGTGTCCTTCTAGCGGGAATGGGCTACTACAGCAAGTTTGTTACACCATAAACTCTCTAAGACACAGGTAACACCAATCTCTATAGGCAAAACCCCCCAAAGTACCACAAATTTATGTCTAGTTCCCCACACTCCAGATTCAAATGGGAAGCATGGAAAGGAATAAAATGTGTTCTCAGCATTCTTTCCCTTAAAACTCTTTACTGCATTCCAGACACATCATAATCAAGGCAAATATCCATCCAGAGAAGATTATATCATTCTCCTCTTTGTGTGTTTAGACCTACAAATGTCTCAACAAGATTCTCTTAGTCTTTACCTCAAACTGTGAGCAAATAAGAGGGCTGGCCACCACTATACTAACTGCATAATGACAAAAGACAACACCTCTTCAAACCACCTTTTAGCCTACATTGTAAGAGAGCAAGAGAAATGGAGGGGTGATGCTTGGAGTGTGGTTGTACTGGAATGTCAGTGCTTTGAAAATCCTCTAGTAAAATGGTTGATACTACAATAAATATGCTTTCTGACTGGAACAAAAATCAAGTCAATAGTCCTGAGTAAAATAAAAAATACCTTTCACTACTGTGCTAAACTTCTCATGTGAACTACATAATATAGGTGTTATTAACTGCATTTTACTTATGGACACCAAATGGAACTGTGATTATTCAGTTAAGGAACAAAAATCACCAATGGAAATAAAGCCTTCAGTGCTTTAACAAAACACAGGTTAAATCAGCTGAAAAATAAGAGGATGGGGCTAGTGATTTCTCTGTAGTTAGGAGCACTGGCTAGTCTTCCAGAGAACTGGAGTTCAATTTCCAGCACCCACGTGGCAGCTCCCAATTGTTCAAACACCAGTCCCTGGGGATCTGATGCCCTTTTCTGGCATCTGCAGGCATCAGGCACCCACATACATGCAGGAAAAATTTTAAAAAAGTAGCCAGGCGGTGGTGGCGCACGCCTTTAATCCCAGCACTCGGGAGGCAGAGGCAGGCGGATCTTTGTGAGTTCGAGGCCAGCCTGGTCTACAGAGCGAGATCCAGGAAAGGCGCAAAGCTACACAGAGAAACCCTGTCTCGAAAAACAAAAACAAAAACAAAAAAGAATATAGGAAGAAGGGTAGAAGATAAAATGAAAATAACTAAGTTACCAGGTGAGTCTTCAAGCATCTTGTCACAGTACAATCATCACTAATTTTCTCAAACCCCTTTTCCCTCTTAACCTATAACTTACATAACAAATCTTTTTTATGGTGGCATATGCCTTTATTTTTAAAGGTTTATTTATTCTTGTATATGGGTACTTTGTTTGCATGTATATCTGCACACCAGAAGAAGGCATCAGGCAGTTGTAAGCTCCCATGTGGGTGCTGGGAATTGGGAATTGAACTCAGGACTATCCAGCCCCAGCAAATCTTTATAACCATTAAACTTGCACAAAACTTTGGATAAATGAGTGACAGAACCAGAAATAAAAGCCACAGTTGCTTACACCAAGGAGTGTCCCTCAAACACAGGAACACTAGAGGGAGGTGCCAATGTTTCAGTCATCACATGAGCTGTGTCTGCACCTGGCCAATTTCACAAACAAATTTGATTTCTTCAATCAGACATTTGCTATTTTAAATCTCAAAAATCAAAGAGCTCTAGGGATGACCTAGAAATTACACGGGCTCATATGCTCACTTTTAGACTCATACACTCGCTTTTAGACTCATACATTCACCTTGTAAAAGAACCTGAACCCCAAACCAAATACAGTGATGTTTAGTAATGTTTCCTACTACAAGATGATGACTCAGTGTACTCAAATGATACGATTTTAATTAAAACTATTTCCTCTTGGGTCAGCAAGATGTATGAGGAACCTAAGGCACTGGTTATCTCTCCTAACAGCCTGACATTGGTCCCCAGTCCCATACAGTAAAAGGAGAGAATCAACTCCCACACATGTGTCATGGTACATACACACACTAAATTTAACTTTTAAAAATTAAATTTTCGCCGGGCGGTGGTGGCGCACGCATTTAATCCCAGCACTCGGGAGGCAGAGCCAGGCGGATCTCTGTGAGTTTGAGGCCAGCCTGGGCTACCAAGTGAGTTCCAGGAAAGGCGCAAAGCTACACAGAGAAACCCTGTCTCGAAAAACCAAAAAAAAAAAGATTAAATTTTCTTAAAACATAAAAAGTTTTACACAATGGTAACAATATTAATTGTAACCACCATGCTACGTACTTTAATAGTTCCACTATTGTTCATTTGCGAATGTACTTCTAATGAACCATATTTTCAAGCTAGTATCAAACTTATCTTGGCTGTTTCCAATTAAAGAGGAAATAAATGCTATCTCAACCTGCAACTTTTAACTTTTCATGTATTGCAAAGGCTAAATAATAAACCATAGTCATCATTAAAACCACAGTTATTTTAAAAATATAAATTCAGTTATCTCTTTAATAATTCTAGGAAAATATACCATTGAATTTCTTAATATTTTACTAAATGAAAATTAACATAGTATATAGCTTGCATTTACTAAAAGGCCAGCAGGCTGTTTAGTGAGTTTCCAGAACAGATTAAACTATATAATTGTTTAAAGTCTTCTTACAATCACACAGTTACCTAAAATCAGAAAACACCTTACAATGACATCCCAATTATACCTAGGATTGTTTATGATAACAATCAATCTCTTTTCTCTAACCAGAATGAATTAGAAGCATGCTAATTATCTCAGCAGAAAGGGAGCAATTTCTAACTAAGGCATGAACCATGATACCAAAAATGAACATGAAAAATCTCACCATAACCACCTACAGCAGCCAAAGAAAATGCAGATATGACTTTTGAAATCTTGTTTGTGTGTGTTTGTGTGTTTTCTCGAGTGAGCACACATTTGTATTTCTCTCTCTCTCTCTCTTTCTCTCTCTCTCTCTGTGTGTGTGTGTGTGTGTGTGTGTGTGTGTGTGTGTGTGTGTGTGTACCATCTGATTCCCTCCTAAGACTATGAGTTAAGTCAGATTTCCACTAAATCTTTCACAGAATATGAGAGGACATATATAACATAAACAACACATTAAAAATTTTAAAAACTTTGCCGGGCGGTGGTGGCGCACGCCTTTAATCCCAGCACTCGGGAGGCAGAGCCAGGCGGATCTCTGTGAGTTCGAGGCCAGCCTGGTCTCCAAAGCGAGTTCCAGGAAAGGCGCAAAGCTACACAGAGAAACCCTGTCTCGAAAAACCAAAAAAAAAAAAAAAAAAAAAAAAAAAAAAAAATTTTAAAAACTTAAAAATCAAGAAAACCTCAAGCATATGTCAATCTTAGTGTAAAGGTCAAAAGAACAATTCTCTAGCACCAGGTTTCTCCCTTACCCCATAATGTCTCCCTCTATCAAGATATCTCTTTCATTGCTCTCCCACTCCATCCCTCCCCCAGCTCAACCATTCCATTCCCTCATGTTCTCATCCCCATCCCCAGTTTACTCATGGAGATCTCCTCTGTTTCCTCTTCCCACAATAATCTGTACGTCCCTCTTAGGGTCCTCCTTGTTCTCTAGCTTCTCTGGAGGTGTGGATTATAGTCTGATTATCTTTTGCTTTACATCAATTATCCACAAGAATGACCCCAGATTAGACTACTAGCAATAGTGGTGACAGTGCCTGAACTGGCCTACCCTGGTAATCAGATTGGTGAATGCCCTGTCATCATAGAGCCTTTATCCAGTAACTGATGGAAGCAGATGCAGAGATCCACACCAAGCACCAGGCTGAGCTCCAGGAGTCCAGCTAAAGAGAGGGAAGAGGGATTATACGAGCAGGGGGGTCAAGATCATGATGGGGAAATCTACAACTGAACCAAGCTCATAGGAACTCATGAACTTTATAGACCAACAGCTGTGGAGTCTCCACAGGACTGGACTAGACCCTTTGCATAAGGGAGACAGTTGTGTAGCTGGGTCTGTTTAAAGAACCCCTGGCAGTGGGATCAGGATCTATCCCTGGTGCATGAGCTGGCTTTCTGGATCCCATTACCTATGGTGAGACACTTTGCTCAACCTTGATGCAGCGGGGAGGGGCTTGGTCCTGCCTCACCTGAATGTACCAGGCTTTGCTGTCCCCCTCATTGGAGAACTTATCCTTTTGGAGGAGGGGATGAGGTGTGGGCCTGGGAGGGGGCAGCTAGTTGGGGGTTGGGGGATTGAGAGGAGGGATGAAGGGGGATCTGTGGTTGGTATGTAAAATGAATAAAAACATTCTTAAATAAATAAAAAAAGAACAATTCTCATTACACTTAATGAAGTAAAAAGTAGACAACTAAAACTCAAAAAAGGGAGGTAAACAAGTCCAATGTAGGACAACTTCTAAAGCATCTGACCTTAGATGAATGGCCCCTTGCACACCTTACCTTACATTCCACCACACTCTGATCCAATTCACAAGTCACATAGATTTCATCCACTGCCCGGCGAAGGTTGTCAAAAAGAAATGCCCAGTAGCGAGCTCTTAGGTCAATTTTCCGGGGGTGCCTTGCTTTTGTGGGACTCTCATCAAAATGTTTCTCTCCGGTCGTGGATGTTATTTTACAGTCTACTGCAGTACTCTGATGAAATAAATCAAACGTTCAAAAAGGTAAGTAAAAGGCTTCTAGGAATTAGATTTTTTATAAAGCACACCTTTCAACACGAATATTTAAGACATTCTTTTCAGCTTACATCACACTTGAGTCCATCAAATAAATTTCTGCCCTGAACAAGAGGCAGGTTTTTCCAGTAACAATCCTAGCATGGAGAGGGAAGGGAGTCCCGAAGCCCCACCCTTAGCTGAGGAGCCAATGTCAGTTAAAGGCTGCTGAGAGAAGAAGAGTCCACATGCATGCACCCATCTGCACACATGCCACAGTGCAAGTGTGGGGGCCAAGGACGATTTGTGGGAGTGAGTTTTCTCCTTCCATCGTGTGGGTTCCCAAGATCAACGTCAAATCATCAGGCTTGTTAGTAAGCACTTTTACCCCATCATCCTGCCGACCCAGCTGATGTCAGGTTTTTTCAGGATACTATTCATGGAATAACAAACCCATTCCCATGATACTGGCATGATACTTTCTGCCAGGCTGAGACAGCAAGAAGATTCTCACCAGACTGGGCCCAAGATCGTGGATTTCTCAGCCTCCAGAACTCAGAACTATATACCAGATAAACGGCTATTGCTTTTAAGTTACCCATTTTGTGGAAGTTTGTTAAAGCAGCACAAGATAGACTAAAACAATGTAAACACTTAAGTCTTCGTGTATCTGAAACTGATTTTACTTCACTTCTGTAATGGAATAATCATCTGACTGAGCACAGAACTTGAGCTTAAGAGTTCTGTGGGTTCACTTGCCTTATAACTCTTAGCTACTGCTCCTTTGTCTTTTTGTGGCTCCAAAGACTGCTAGTGACCTGTAATCCTATGTGATGTTACTTTTTGGTAAGTTTAAAGACTTTCTTTTGCCCTGCTGTTCTGAAGACTGTAAAATAGATCTAAGTATAAAGCTACTTTTATTTATGCTACTTAGCTCCAGTTTACGTTCTAACGCCCCTGAGAAGTCAGCAAGTGAAAAAAGCCTTCAAGGCAGACTTATTTTCTACTTTTGGAAGCCTCAGAAGACGTGTACTAGAAATTCCACCGTAGATTGCTCACATCTTCCTCGTCTTCGGTCCTCTCTTAGTCTAAATCCCCTCAGAGCACCCTCCAGCTTGGAGGGTCTTTCACTATCCTCCTTCCAGTATCCCATTTATTAATTGTAGTTTTTCACATTTTCACTGACACATCTATAAATATTTGAAATTAATAGTTAATTTCTTTTTTTTTTTTTTTTGGTTTTTCGAGACAGGGTTTCTCTGTGCAGCTTTGCGCCTTTCCTGGAACTTGCTTTGGAGACCAGGCTGGCCTCGACCTCACAGAGATCCGCCTGGCTCTGCCTCCCGAGTGCTGGGATTAAAGGCATGCGCCACCACCGCCCGGCAATAGTTAATTTCTTTATTTCATAATTTACCAAATTTCTTGTAGAGTTATTCTTTCCTGTGAGGAACCTAAACTCATTTATTTGAAAGTTCTCTTTAGAATAGTATCTAACTTTTCATTACATAAAGAGGAAATTCTCATTTGTATCAAGTATTGATGGTATTTCATGGCATTTTCTTCATGTGCTTTGATATTTTATTTGGCAAACTTATTTTGAGTTTTGTGTCTTTCACTTTCTTACTAGCTCACCTTTAGATGCCATCAATCTGGCCCATTATAGTTCTCCTTCCCGAGGTTTTCTACTGAAGCCTACAGCTTTCCCTCAGGGAGTATGACAGACTGAGTCTTCAATCAGAGGGTTACTCCTGAAAGCAGTCCCCACTGCAGACAGCCTCCAGACATCGCTGCCCTCAGCCACCACCCCAGCAGGGTGTGTCCTGTCAACCTCTGTATGTCTTTTTCATTCTAGTATGCCACAGTATTCCACCACACAGGCCTAAGTGTGGTGATATAGTGTGTACCCTAATAAATTTGCCTGAGGATCAGAGGACAGAGCCAGCCATTAGATTAGACACAGAGGTCAGGCAGTGGTAGCACACACCTTTAATGCCAGCACTTGAGATCTCATGCCTTTGCTTGGGAAGCGCACACGCCTTTAATCCCAGGAAGTAATATGGCAGGGCAGAGAAAGGTATATATAAAGCGTGAGGAAACAGGAACTCCCTCTCTTTAGACTGAGGATTTCGTAGAGTTGGTCTGCTTCTCTGATCTTTCAGCTTTCACCCTGATATCTGGCTCTGGGTATTTTACTGAAAGACCACCTAAGATTGAAACAACACCTCAGTTTTCAAATCAGACCCTGAACATGTTTCCCACCACAAATGACATCCAGGCTCTTTATCCATTGGAACTCATCCTCTAGATGCTTTGACCACTCAGTCTGTGTGCCCAATCCACTCACTTCTAAAGAGGAAGTTCTGTTCTCTTTCTATCTGGAGATAGTTATCTTGTTATCTGAAAAGAAAGTTTGTCACTGATGCTTCTGTAAGGTGCACTCTTTGTGAACTCACAATGATAGCCTGATTTAAACTCTGTTTTCTTCACATCAAGTTTTCCGTTTATGCAAACATAATATATCTACTAATATCAAGTTAAAATAACAAGTATAAAAAGAAAAAACTATGAAAAGCTAACTATAATTATCCTGAACAATTTTAAAATAAGAGGTAGTTCTGGATTCTTGTATAATTTTAGAGTGACCAGCCTTAATATTATGCATCCCAGGGGCTCAGGAGAGAGAACTACTACTGGCGAGGACTATTCTCAGGAAATAGAATCTCAGCACACTGAGCTCTATAGTCCACTTGCTTTAATTCCTCTGGCATAACATCCTATATACACAGCTTCAGTTCTGTTCTCGTGCCTAACTCCTTTCTTGCCTGATTTCTCTCTACCTTTATCTACTGTTTCCTCTAAGTCTATCTTAATTCTCTCATCTTAATTCTGCCTCATCTAGGTCCTTTTCATCTTGTTCTTACCCAGCTAGTACTTCCCCATCTGGCTCTTCCTCATCTTCCATCTTGTCCACAGGTATTCTCCTTATCCCTCTCCGTTCTCCTCGTTCCTCCTAAGTTTCCCAGGTATCCAGTTATAAACCCAAGCAATAGCAAGCGCCTGGTCAAGCAAGGTCACCAGGCTTGAATTCTACAGGGTCATAAAGGCTGGTAAGAATTTTCCTCAGGCAGTGACCATCAGGCTTCCAGGGTCAAATGGAGGGGTGATAAGAATCACACAGAGGGGCAGTAATTGTTAATTATCATTTGCAACCCAAAAGGGAAGTGACTAATAGGGAAATGAATAAACTAAAGGCTAAATTTGGGTAATATCTAAGAAGAGGGATCTTATATGCTCCACTATAGTCCTCAATGTGATTGGTAGAAAATGTTAAGAATCTGTAAGTTGCTAGGTCAATGGGAGAAAATAAAACTGCCTTCTTTTTTCCTGTGGCTCCTATCTGTCCAAGCTATGGGCTGTTTTTTTCTGCAGGGTAGGGGAAAGTGTGCTCAGTTGCTAGGCAACCCATGCACAGCTAGATGCCTCTGGTGATAGTTAAAGGGAGATCTGGAACTAGAGGTAAGATTTGGGAAAGGAGGAAGTTAAGCTTAATTGGCACATCGGCCAGGCCTTCTCAAACAGGTAGTCTGGACACTTAAGTCTGTCCTTAGAGAGTACAGAGGTATCTCTGATAAGGTACTTTCCTCCTTCCGGGGATGGACCTGGCCAGATGCTGCCAATGACGATAATTACAGGGAGGCTTGAACTGGGGTTCTGGCTGTGCATAGCTGTCAGCACACAAGGTTAACAAAAATTCCTTTAGTAGAGGGGAAATGGTGCCCAATAAATGATGGAAAAGCTACAATAGCATACAAGAAACTTGTAGCAGGAAATGGCTGATAATCAAAAGCCAAATATCACCAAGGTTCCGTGAGCCTCAGCTTGACCCCTGGAAGGCCCTTGGCTACTTCCAGGAATTAGCTTTGTCATAATCAGCTGAAATCCTACTTTGTGTATTTCTGCGGCTTGCAGCACTGGATTCTCTATAGCTTTAGTGACTCTATTTGGAAACTTTTAAAGTCACTAAATTGTGACTTCTACAAACTAACAGTATCATTACTTACAGAAAGAATATCACAAATTCCCAATATGGACCAGGTAGCAGAAAAGTTAAGGTTATAAACTGAAAGCTGACAGTATGGGCTGAAATGCCAGCTGGCTGTCACTCACTGGGTTATTATACAGCTCTCTGAGCATCTGTTTCTCTTCATACAGTAACTTCACTTTCTTGTGATACTGTTGGAGGGTACACACATGTGTTCAGGTGTTCACACCTATGTACACACAGGGGGAGGCCACAGGAGGAGCACAGGTGTCTTCATCTACTATTATCCACCTTATTCCTACTAAGACAAGGCATCTCAGTAAACTGAAAGATTGCTGTTTTGGGTAGGCAGGCTAGCTAGCCACCCCGTAAGCTCCTAGGATCCATCTGTATCTGCCTCTCAAAAGCAGCGTTACAGGCACACACTGCCATATCTGACTTTTTTTTTTAAATGTGGATGATGAGGATTTGAATATAGGTACTCATGCTTACACAGCCAATGGGTCATCTCTCCAGCCCATAACTTCACTTTTTTAAGTGAAGAAAATAAGGCCTACAGCAAAGGGTTCCTATGAGAACAACAAAAAAGTATCTATTTATAAAGTACTTAGGACTAGGTAAATAGTGAATTCAGTATCCACCATATATATAACCAATAATATGCTCAGGAAATGAATTAAAACAAATTAGTAAAAAGATGTATATGTTGAATGTACCAGGCTCTGCTGACTCCCCATGAGAGACCTTGCCTTGGAGGAGGTGGGAATGGGGGGGGGGGGGGTTGGAGGGGAAGGCTGGAGGGCAGAGGGGAAAATAAAACTGCCTTCTTTTTTCCTGTGGCTCCTATCTGTCCAAGCGATCTGCAGGGTGGGAGAAAGTGTGCTCAGTTTTTCTGCAGGGTGGGGGAAAGTGTGCTCAGTCGCTAGGCAAGCCCTGTACAGCTAGATGCCTCTGGTGATAGTTAAAGAGAGATCTGTGGTTGGTATGTAAAATGAATAGACAATTTCTTAATAATTAAAAAAAGGGAGTGTATGCTGTACCTGTTTAGTGGTTTTATGAGTGCCTTGAATTGTCCTCTTAGATTTTCCACCAGTTTGACATTCAGGTTTTCCTTCAAAGCATGAGAAAGGAAATAGACACATAAAATGAAAAGAGATAACATACAACTAAACTACAGGGGATCTATAATTTACAACACAATGCATTCTGGCATCTCTAGTACCTAATTTCCATGCAGAAACCACAGGACAGAACAATTTATTCATCATCAATGAATGTGAACTACTGATGAAGTTTTTTGTTTTGTTTGATTTTTAAACCTACATTCTTAAGTCCTAGAGACTGCTTTATTCAGTGGCTTTCTTGGAGAGGAATCTTCAGCCCTGGAATTTTTTTTTAACCAAGACTTTAAACATAAGCATTCTACTACTAAGATATTACCCACAGCCTAGGTGCACTCTTAGTTAGCTTGAAACGTCCTATCATATAAGATTGTTCTCAAAGAAAGAGCAAAGGAAACAGACCACCAAGAATCTCCCATTCATCAAATCTACGACAATCTGAACATCAAAAAAGAGTCATATATTATACCCCCTTTAATACTAAGTCAAGAATCTACACAAATTTAAATTTATAAATACACATATGTTTTAAAATAAAAGGAAGAAGGAAGAGCTATTCTTTATATTAGAAGGCTAATTGACAAACGTGGAAGAAATTATGAAGTTAGAAAATCAGCATTTCAACTACCAGAATAATAGCTTAATAATTTCATTATTTTTTAAAAAATCAAATGAATAATAACAGTTTAAAAATATTTTTTACAAAATCAATTTTATTTACTATGCCAATTTGCTGAGGAGATCTAATTTCGTACATCCACTTTAAATCTGCTTAGTCTCCAGAACTAAATATATCCTTATACATTTTGTTTTGTTTCTTTTTTAGACAAGACCTTGTTATAGTGCCAAGGCTATCCTTGAGCTCCTAAACTCAAGGTAATCCTCCTGCCTCCAGTCTTCCAGCACACCCACCTGTCCTCCCAATTTACAAAGGGGAAAGCCAACTTCTAAAATACATACCATCATCATCTTTGCCTTCTAGTGGAACACTCCAAGCGGTCCGGTTTCGTGATTACGACCCTCCTCAGCAACAATTCTCCTCACTTTGTCATGACTATTGGAGCGCTGGAAGGAAGCCTAGATATATTGAAACAGTAATATTTATGACACTATTAGGTATCAATCACCATTTTGCATATATTTAATAAAGTCATTATTCTTCATATTTATTCAGACAGCAAATACTTAAAAACTAATTTGAGTGGCTTGGGAGATGGCTCCTTGGATAAAGTACTTGTTGAATAAGCATGAAAAAAAAAGAGTTCAGATCTCCAAGATCCACGTAAAAACTGAGTGATGTGGAACACAACTGTAATCCCAGTACAGGAAGGGCAGAGACTGCCAGACGGTTTAGTCAAAATAGGAAGTTCTAGGTTCAGTGAGAGACTCTGCCTCAAAAGATAAGGTAGAGACAGGCAGATGGCTCAATTGGAAAGGCTCTGGCCAACAAGTCTGAAGACCTGAGTACAATCCCCATTACCCACATAGTGAAAGAACAGAACTGACTCCCATAACTTGTCCTCTGACCTCCACACATAAGCACTTGCATGTACACGTGTACGCACACACACAAATGAATACATAATGATTTAAATATAAAAGGGGAAAGGCTTGGGTGGTGGCTTAATGTATAAAGTGCTTACTGACACCAAGTAAAAGTAGCTACAGTTTTTAAGACAGATCGTATCATATTTTTAAGCTTGTGGGAAGAATCCTGTAGGGAGAAATTTTTGGTTATGTGAGATAAAGGGAATAAACATGCTAGTTAAATCTATAAACATGAGGATATCAGTTCTAACCACCAGAACCCAGGTAGAAAAGCTAAAACCCAGCACTGGAAGCAGAAACAGGAAGTTCCCAAGGGCCCCTGGCCAATAGGTGAGCTCCAGGTTCAGTGAGAAACACTATCTCAAATATAAGGTGGAAAGCAAGAGCATGGCACCCAGTGCTGACTTCTGGTCTCTACACACACACACACACACACACACACACACACACACACACACACACACACACACACATTCCCACACATGCGCCATAACAATGTAGAGAGAGAGGGAGACATCAACTGTCAACTCTGGCCTCCACATCATGAACACACAAACCAACCTGAGGTTTAGAATGTGGCACAAGTATGTCTTAAGGTTTAAAAAATCTAAAATAAAAATTTTAAATTACTTCTAAAACAAATATGGTCTAAAGTTTGAACAGCTATGTGGTGATATTTTATTTGTATGTTAATAAATAAAGTTTGCCTGGAGATCAGAGGACATAACCAGCCATAAACAAAAGTCAGGCAGTAGTACCACACACCCTTATTCTGATCACGTGGCAGGCAGGGTCTCCGTGTGTTCAAGGACATAATAGGGAACAGCCAAGCATGGTGACACATGCCTTTAATCCCAGTACCAACCACAGAGACCTGGAGGTCTGTACTGACAGGCAGTGACAAGGAAGTGAGAAGGAAGTGAGGTAGCTGGGCTAAGAACCAATGAGAGGACAGAACAGCAAGGCAATAAAGGCACAGGTTAGACAGGAAGTAGCTCTCTCTTGGGAAGCTACAGCAGCACGGTTAGCTAAGGTTAGCTGGTGGCTCTCGTTATTTCCCTGATCTCTACGGCTTTCACCCCTGTATTTGGCTCTGTGTTTCTTATTTAATAAGACTGCTTAGAAATTCGTCTACACAGCTACACCACGCAGCAGAACCACCAATCTGCACCTATGCCAGCCCCACATCTTACATATCAACAAGTCTAGTGGTGGAATAACAATCAAAATCCCAACCGAAAAAAGTTCAAAAGAGAATGGCAAGTGAGAGACGAGACATAAGACTGAAAATAGAGAAAAGACATAAAGCTAAAATAAAAAAATAAATAAAAACCTCTTGGAGTTTTACCTTAAAAACAAAAAATGAGATTTTTTAAAAGACAGATCATATTTTTATGCTCATGGGAAGGATCTGATAGAAAATTTGATATATGGGGGAAAGAGGACAAACATGCCTGCTAAATCTATGAGTGACAAAAATAAAATTTCAGTACACAAATGAAGGAACTAACTACTACTAAAAAATCTAAACTACTAGAAAAAAATGATCCCACCTATTAGAATACTCTGATCAGAGACTAATTCATATCTTCTCTCCAGAACTTTTAGCCTTCTACTTAATGTCTGTGTTTGCATCTCTTCACTCTTCTGGCCTTGCCCTGAAATTCCCAGAAGCATCTACCTAACTAGCTAAAGCTTTCACAGGGAGTTATGTTGTTATACTATGCTCTCCAGATTTGCAAAACTCCCAAACCGCTTCTCTGTTTACTCTCATGCTTCCCAATGATGTAAAACACCTCCTCCACTTGTCTGAACTTACCGCTATCACTTAGATTACCCAAACATAGTTTTAAAGAAAAGCACCACTAGGACTCCAGGTCAAATGAACAAGTTTAAATGTATGTCATACTGTTAGCTCTTTCAAATAATTTCCTTGTTCCCCTGTAGAAAATCTTACAGGTATAGACATCATGGCATAAAACTCACTACTCTTATGTCCTGTCTAACCCGAGTCCTCATAAAGTAACGAGCTTCCAAGAACCAAAACAGATGGCCTCACAGTCCCAAGACTGCAGTAATACTAAACCTGAACCTTTGGATTGAATGCTCCTTTCTCCTAGGAACATCACTATTACCAACTTAGTTCTTTTGTACTTAATGCAGAAAGACATAGAGAAAAAGCCACCAGCTCGAGGACTGTTTTTATTCTTTATTCTAATATTTAACATGCAAAAATATTACTATTAATCTTGTATATGCCTGAAACAGCTTTCATTTTATATGACGGATGCTTTCTGTAACATGCTGAATGTGCTCCTTTCAGTAAAAACCCCAAATCTGATCATTTTTAACAACTTAATTCTTATAAACATGTCAGTATCATAATGCTTTTAATCAGTTTAGTATAAGCACCAGGGTTTGAAATACAATCAATGAGTAGAGATACATAATCACTTTATAGATGTGTATTTCAACAGCATTCTTACTCAGGTTCTTTTCTTACAGATCTCAACAAATTTTTGCCTCCAAGTCATAGTGTGCCACCTAGTGCTACATAGAGATTTTACATAGGCTTTTTCAAATACTTAACATTTCAAATAAAAGCAATAAACATCAGCATTAAGTTATATTCAAATCTTGCCCGATATACTCTAAGAAATCAATTACTCAGAATGTTCACCACAGTCTACATACTTCTGAGACTTGCTCCCATATTCAAATCTTCCAAGGAGGGACTTGGGCAAGACTACATTCCCTCTTCCTAAGCCCTCCATTTGAGTAATTTCAGGTATATAGAAGTGCCTGGAGACACTGAGTTGTCAAAGTGTCAGGAAGGACAGCACGTTTGCTTGCTTCCATGCTTAGATCCCCCTACCTCAGCACCCATCCAGGATAAGGCAGCCCAGGAACTTAGCTTGGATTTACTTGTAACAAGAGAGGCTGGTCCTCATCTGTTTTCCTATCCCACATTCCACAAGTGTCAGACGGAGGCAGCAGCCGTGCCTGAAACAGTGACTAAGATTGAAGTTTACAGATGAAGAATAGATGGCAGGAAGTAGAAAAAAGAGAAGCAAACAGCAAACACGGAAAACCTAAAGTCAGTTTTTAAAGCAGCTTGATCCAGTGGTCAGGGACACAGCTCAGTGGGTAAAGGCACTTGATGCCAAGCCAAAAAACCCAAGTTTAACCCCTGGGACCCAGATAGTGGAAGGAGAGAATCAGCTCCTGAAACCTGTTCGATCATCTCCCCATGCACACACTATGGCACATGTGACACTGACAAACAAATAAATGTGTTAAAAATGGCTGTACTTACCGTCATTTGTAAGTCTCTTTCCTTGGCAAGATCATTTGCCATATAATCCCATGGGCTATAATTCCTGCAATTAAAATATATATCCTTAGTCATAGTGTTATCACAAAATCATATGTAATCATTAAAAGATAAAATCTCACCCTCTGTGTTCCTCATTACATTAAATACAAAAAAATGAATAAAACCACATTTTATTGTCTGTTAGGATGCATAGGATACAGCAGGCTTTAAATACTCCACACTGAATAGTACCTCAATACTCCAAAATATAAAAACTAAATGGGAAGGAATCAACGCCAATTACAGGACTACCATAGTATATCACAATCCAGAGGTCAAGCTTCTTTTTAGTATAACTCTTTACACAAAACACACACATGTATTTTATATGCTTGGTTGAAGGTTTATTTTTATGTAATGTATATGTGTGTTTGCCTGCATGTAATGTAATTCATATGCACAAAGTATATGTGCTTGTAAAGGCAGAAAAGGGCATCAGACTCCCCTGGAACTGGAATTACAGAGGATTACTAGCCACCTTGTGGGTACTAGAAATCAGACCTGGGTCCTGTGCAAGAGCAACAAGTGTTCTTAACTGCTGAGCCATCTATCTAGCCCCGAATTTCCTATCTTGACCGGATTCATAATGTTTAACTAAAAGAAAGCTTCCATGAACATTTATCCCTATTGTGAGAAATCCACTCCTGCCTTCCCTGTTCCATTTCATTTTCAATAATGTTATTAACATGGCTCGCTAATAAGCCCCACTTAACACAGAAAATAATGTGTAACCCCTCCTTAAGAATTTCCATAAAATGGAGGTGGGACAGATGGTTCAAAGGTTATAGGAACTTGTTGCTCTTACAGAGGACCTAGGTGCAGGTCCCAGCACCCACATGGTGGCTTACAACCATTCATAATTTCAGATACAGGGATTCTGACTCCCTCTTCTGACTTCTATGGACACCAGACACATATGGTATATATACAGACATGCAGGCAAATTCATTAACATAAAATAAAAACAAATCTTTAAGAAAAGAACTTCAGCCAGGTGGTGGTGGCACACGCCTTTAATCCCAGCACTCAGGAGGCAGAGGCAGGTGGAACTCTGTGAGTTTGAGGCCAGTCTGGTCTACAGAGTGAGATCCAGGACAGGCACCAAAACTACACAGAGAAGCCCTGTCTCGGAAAAAGAAGAAAAAGAAAAGAAGTTCAATAAACAGAAATTTTATCAGAATATTTTAATCACCTTTTATGTTAGTGTCCACACAGAACAGACCTTACCTTTCAAGAAACCTACTTAATGTAGTCAAATTTTCACTCAAAAGAAACACAAAGCAAAGAAACTAAACTCTGTAACAAGAACCACTGAATAAAAGAAAGTAGCAGATGAAACCAAACATTCTAATTCTAAAAACCTCCTCATTTAGCCTCAGTCAAGGTGAATATGCTCCTTTTAAAATACACTTCCAGGCTGGGATGTGGCCGGATGATAGAGTACTTGCCTAGTATACTTGAGACTCTGGACTCAGTTACCTGCACTATAAGAAATATAGTTTTAACCGGGTGTGGTGGTGCACGCCTTTGATCCTAGCACTTGGGAGGCAGAGGCAGGTGAATCTCTGAATTTGAGGCCAGCCTGATCTACAAAATGAGTTCCGGGTCTGTCAGGGCTATACAGAGAAACCCTGTCTTAAAAAAGAAAAAAAAAAAGAAAATACAGTTTTAAAGCAGCACCTCGAGTGCAAACATACATACACACACACACACACACACACACACACACACACACACACACACACACAAACTTAACCATAAATGCTCATAATAGCATCATTAACCAATAATCAAAATGGCATGCATAACCATCAGCTAAAGATTAAAACATTGTGTGAAAAAAGTTATAAAAAATCACATATTGTATGATTTCATTTATATGAATTGTCCAGAATAATCAAATCCATGGAGTCAAAAGGTAGAGGAATGGGGAGAAAATGGAAGTAACCACGAAAGAGAACAGGCTACCTCTCAGGGTGGTAACAATGTCCCCAAATCCACTGTGGTGTAGACACCCAGCTCTGTGAACACGTTATAGACGAGTTTTAAGTAGGTGAATGGCGTGGTACATGATTTAGGCATGGGTAAAGTGCTGTATTCTTTACGTACATTGCCCAGGCTCACAGACCTCCAGCTCCACCCCACCTCGCTCAAGTGAAAGACAGTCTTCATAGTCAGCTATCTCACCCCAAGTTTTCTCCTGTCCTTCACCACTCCTTGCCAGTATTCATTCCATTCCAGCCACACTGGCCTCTTTATGCTTTTTAAGACTTGAGTCTCAGGGGTTTATACTTGGGCCTCTCTCTGTCTTTGCCAAATGTGACTTTCTCGGTGAGCCCTATTTAAAATTGTAACCCTCCTAAACAACAAGGCTGTGGGAGTTCATCACCACCAGAGTAGCCTATAAGAAATGAAAGGGAGCTAACCACATGAAAAATAAACCACCACAGTGATGGTAGAAAATAACTTTAACTCTAACAAGAAAGGTAAAATACAAACATTAAAAATAAATGAAGCTGAGTGAATGGCACATGTAATTTCATATTCTCAGGAGACTGAGAAAAGAGGATCACTTGAGGTCAGGAGTACCAGTCTTGATGATAGAGGAAATGTTGTCTCAAGAAACTAAACAAACAAACAAAACAAAAACAAACCAAAAAACCCCTACTAATTCCAACAATTTATTAAGATACACAATATAAGAAAGATGTAATCTGTGACATCATTAACATAAAATGTTAATGCAATTTTATTTTTGTGTTTATTTTTTGCCTGGTAGGTGTTTTTGTTTTCTTTTGTTGTTGTTGTTGTTGTTGTTTGTTTTTCTTTTTTGCGAGGAGGGGTTTGAGACAGAGTCTCTCTATGTATTCCTGGCTGTCTTGGAACTTGCTACATAGACCAAACTGGCCGAGAAATCACAGAGATCCAACTGCCTCTGCATCCCAACTTCTAGGATTAAAGGCATGTTTTTGTTTTTGGAGAGGTCTTGCTATTTTACTAAGGCTAGCCTCTAATATGTAATTCTCTTGCCTCAGCTTCTTGAGTGCTGTGACTATATGTGTAAACCAACTGAAGTTAAATTTTTAGCATCTTAGAACAGACTATAACTACAGGATGTTTTATGTATGCCTATGATAACCACAAAGAAAAATCCAGAATAGATACACAATAAATAAAGACCAAAAAATCAAAAATTATCATTTTTCAAATAAAATCACAAAGGAAAATATCAAAATAGAAACTGAAAGTGAAAGAACTACAAATCAGAACATAATCATTGTAGTAAAGGCTTTCAATCTATCATTAACTATAAATGGATTACATTCTCCAATCAAAAGATAAAAATAGCTAAATAATTTTTTTAAATGATCACAAACAACATATTGCCAATAAGCAGCTTCAGCCTTCAGGAAGAAAATAAGCTGAAAGTGAGAGGATTAAAAAAGATATTCCGGGCTGGAGAGATGGCTCAGAGGTTAAGAGCACTGACTGTTCTTCCAGAGGTCCTGAGTTCGATTCCTAGCAACCACATGGTGGCTCCCAACCATCTGTAACGAGATCTGGTGCCCTCTTCTGGCCTGCAGGCATACATGCTGTATACTAAATAAATAAATAAATCTTAAAAAAAAAAAAAAAAGATATTCCATGTAAATGAGATCCCAAAGAAAGCAGAGGTATTTTACCAGACAAAAGGATTTTAAGTCAAAAAATGCCACAAAAAAGTCATCATATGATGATAAAAAGTCAATTCTCAAGAAAATATAACAATTATAAATATATCCCAAACTTAGAGTAACTAAAAAGATAGGCAAATATTAACAGAATTGAAGACAAAATTACAGTAATCTAATACTAGGGATTTCAATACCCAACTTTAAAGAAAGGATAGATCTGGACATACAATCATTAAAGAAAAGGTTAACATGAACAATACTACAGATCAAATGAACTAAGCCAACATATTTAGAATATTACACTCAACAGCAGAGTATATACTATTTTTAATCACAAATCGAGTATTTTCTAGGATAGATTATATAAGCTACAAAACAAATGTTAATAAAGTCAAGGTTTTAAGTGGTTATTAATTTTCAGACCACAGATGGTATAACACTGTTATAGAAATCACTGATGAGAAGAAAATTTAAAAATTCACAAATATGTGGAAACTGAGTCACACATTCCCCAATAACCTATAGTTTAAAGAAGAAATCAAAGGAGAGATAATAAAACACCTTGGGATAAACTAAAATGGAAATATAAATAGCAAAGCATGTGTCAGAACAAAGTCCATGAATGGATTTATGTGAGGAGAATTCTAAGTGCTTGTGAGAAAACTCCAAGAAGACAAGACACAAGTCTTGTGATCTCAGTTTCTTCAAAAACATAGAATCATTCCTGGAATGATTTTTCATGCCCCTCCCAGATGTAGCAGATAGGAGTGAATTTACTTCAGGATATTCATTATGACTGGCTATTGTTATTTATTTATATGCCTCTGTGGAAAAATATGTTTTTGCCATATGTGTCTCGCCCACCATGTGTGGCTTGCCCCTGTGATTGTATACTTTAATCATGTGACTTCTTTTAACCCACAGAGTATAAATCGTCTGATGCTCTGAATAAAGTTGGCTACTGCATAAGACCGTAGTCTGCCTCACTTATCGGTTCCATCCTCCCAGGTCCCACTGCCTCTAAAGTGATAAACTCATATAAGCATGGTAAAAGCAGTTATAAAAGGAAATTTTAAAACAATGAATGCCTAATTAAGAAAAAAGAAATAACCTAACTACACAACCCAAGGGTCTAGAAAAAGATCAAAACTCAAAGACATCCAAAAGGAAACTAAAAATCAAAATAGAACATTAAAAAATAATCTAGAAAAGAGATAAGATCATGAATCTACAAGCTAGTGTTTCATAGGAAAGAGAAAAATGTCTGATTAGACTAAGAAACTTGGCAGGAACCTGGAAACAAGAGCTGAAGCAGAAGCCATTAAAGATTGCTGCTTACTGGCTTCCTTCCCATGGCTTGCTTGCTCAACCTGCTTTCTTATACCACCTAGTGGCACCACCTCCCAGTGGGCTGGGCCCTTTCTCATCAACCATTAATCATGAAAATACCCCACAGACTTGCCTATAGGTACTCTGATGCAGGTATTTTCTCAGTTAAGGTTCCTCCAGCCTAGTGGTTTCTCTAGCCCAATGCCAAGACCCTTTAATAGAGTTCCTCATCTTGTGGTGACTCCCAACCATGAAAATCATTTTCATTGCTACTTCATAACTGTAATTTTGCTACTGTTATGAATTGTAATGTAAATATTTTTGGAGACAGAGGTTTGCCAAAGTGGTCATGACCCACAGGTTGAAAACTATTGCTCTAGCCAAATCTGTACAGATTGATGTCCTTATAAGACAGGTTGAAGGAAGATCCCTGTCCGTCCTCGTGTAGGGGTAGAGAAGGTGTCATCTAAAATCAGAAAGTAGGTCATCACCAAACACAGAATTAGCTAGCACCTTCATCTTGGGACTTCCCCAACCGGAACTGTGAGAAATCGATCCCTGTTCTCTATACACTTCTCAGTTTAAGGTCTTTTGTTATAGCAGCCCAACAGACTAACTAGGAGAATTTTACAGATGCAGCTCAAGGGAATGGGGGAAAGAGTAGGAAGGGAGCATTTGCTGAAGGCTTGCTATGCAGTTCTTTACAGAAACAATCATTTTCTGCTGGTAACAATTTTATGAGGTGGATGGTATCCAAATGAGGGAAGCTGAAGGACAAGGTGCACTTGAGACTCTGACCTTCAATGCTACCATACCCCACTTTCTCCCACCAACGTCATTTCCCAAGTGACATTTAAAAATGACTCTAGCTGGGCGGTGGTGGCACACGCCTTTAATCCCAGCACTCGGGAGGCAGAGGCAGGCAGATCTCTGTGAGTTCGAGGCCAGCCTGGTCTACAGAGTGAGATCCAGGAAAGGCACAAAGCTACACAGAGAAACCTTGTCTCGAAAAACAAAAATAAATAAATAAATAAATAAATAAATAAATAAATAAATAAATAAATAAATAAATAAATATGACTCTATTAAAGGTAGATATCAGTGGACATTCTCAAGTCATTTCAGTGTGTTTAAGTCAATCTGCAAGCATTCTGCAGAAAGTCGTGTTTAACAGAAAAAAAATACCAAGGCAGGGTAGGTTAGCGCTGTGCTTATCAACCTTAACTCAGGATTCTAACACATCACCAACAAGTGATCTGGGTAAGTCACAACCTCTTTGAGCCCCAGGTTCCCTATTCATAAATGTCCACATTCCCTATCTCCTTCTTCCCCCATGTGATGCTGATGAAAACAATCTGTAAATTGTGGTACATACATAAGGAATCATTGTGTTAGGAAAGATAATTGTAGTGAATTGCTATTTCGTGAACAATAACTTGGCACACTTGAGAAATACAGTCTACCAGCAGCAGGAAGCAGCCCTAGGGCTGAGGGGCCCTCTTCAGAGGGAGCCTCTTGACAGCAGCAGGTGCTGCTGCGGGAGCAATTTTCTGGCTGCTTTCTAACAAGTTCAAAGCTCTCTGCAGTCAGCTACTGACTCTACCCTGCTTCCTTGAGCAAACCTGAGCAGATGGGAGGCGCTAACAAATTCCTGGGGTGAGGACACTGAGGCAGGAGGCTCCCAGGTGAGAGACCTTCCTTTTGCACCCGAGGCCCCAACGTCAAACATTTGTTTTGTTTTTTGTTTTCTTTTTCCGGAGCTAAGGACCGAACCCAGGGCCTTGCGCTTGCTACCACTGAGCTAAATCCCCAACCCCAGGTTAAACATTTGTAAAATGGGAAAGAAAAAAATAATAAATTCTTCCACCCCCTGCTCCCCTGAGAAAGCTAAGACCTGAATCAAGTTTCATGGAAGTGTGGCCAACCCCTGGCGGAAAAGATGCTAACGGGGTCAACTGCCAAAGGCAGGCAAGAAGCTCCTGAGGTGAGGACCCCGCGGTAGGGACATGCCAGAAGCCTGGACTACCTGCTAGAGACAGCATCCTGCCCGGGGCTCGCTCCCGGCCGGGACGGAGCTCACGGTCCCAAGACCCTCACAGCCCACTGGGGCTGAGGGCCGGCTGGACCCTCCCTACCCGGGCCGGGCCTCCCCGGTCAACCCCCACGGCTCCCCTCCCCGGTCACACGCCCAGGTGCCTGAGGAGGTGGGAGGGTGTTCCGCCGCCATCTCGTGCCCTCAGCCCCGCAACACAGGCTGCCCGCGCCCCTCCTGGGCCGTCCGGGTCGAGGAAGGGCACACTGCCCCGGGCCGCCCCGCGCACTTCGGGGCGGCTCCCAACCTACCGGCGGGAAAGGGGCGGGGCGGGGCGGGGCGGATGGCCTTACACCACGTGACGCCAGCCGAAGCCTAGCCCCGCCCCCTAGGCTATCCCGGGCTATCCGCGCAGGCGCAGCCGGGTTCACGCCTTTCGCTCAAGCCTTTTGCTCAGCCCTTACATCCCCAGAGCTGCTTTTTCCATGGACTGATATAGTCCACTTCGGCTTCTGGCCACGCGGGCCCCTTTCTCGAATTCAAGCTTTCCCTCCTGCCTGTCTTATCACCACAGTCCACATATGAAGGACCTAGCAAGTCCTCTTGAGAAATCTGTGCGTGGTAGTGTTTCACAAAATCACCTGGGGCTTAGCCAAGTAGAGCTTTACCTGCACCTTAAGGCTTGTTTTAGACGTCGTGTGCCAGACTTGGATCCAAGTACAAAGACCTAACAGATATGTTTAAGCTATTTCGAAGAGTTCAGTCAGCACAAGATGAATATGTGTCGATATTTAAATCACAGTTCTGAACTAAATGGAAAAGAGATTGTGCACATCATAGTATCAAGGGGATATTATATCCCGGCTACTTTTCATCCAGCTGACATTCTAACGTCCCTCACCCTTCTTACCCACAGCAGCTGGGAAACCAATGGGTACTGAAGTCTACCTCACTTTCAGGCGTGAAAGAGCTGTGGAAACAGGTGTGCACTATATTAGTGGCTCCTTCTATGTCCTCTCTCCTCTTGGTTTCTTAGAAAACTCATTCCTTCAGTTGTCTGACAGTTATGAAGCACCTGCCATGTTAGATACACTAACTGCTTAGGGTTAATAAATGAACAAAATAGATCTTCCTCGGGAAAAATATCCTGGGAAAAAAATGTTTTTGAGCTGGGAGGAAACATCAAATGGGAACAGAAGTGACACAGTACAACATAAATGATGGTCATGGTGTTGTTTCTCTTGTTAATCATCTTCTCTTATTCCCATGAGCAATTTACAAGATATCTCCACTACTTCAATAGCTATTCAGGTCTGGACTTAGTGCCCTTTGGTTTCTGCCCATTCTTTTCAAAGTCACCAGGGATTTCCCTGCTGACATTATCACCACAGCTTGCAGTAGTTTAAAATTTTAATTTCCCCACAGGCCCAGGTATTGAAGGCTTTGGCGCTATGGTGGTGTTACCAGAGACCAAGGCCATTGAATAAGAAGATGCCAACAAACCAGATCAGCAACTTTCCCAAAAACCAAATAGAAATGATGATTAGATCAGTGCCTTATTCACCCATCATCAGAGAGGCTTCCTCCTCCAGCAGATGAGAACAAATACAGAGACCCACAGCCAGACGTTACACGGAGAGACAGACCTTGGAACACACAGCTCTAAATGAGATGTCTCCCTCAATCAACCCCCTCAGACCTCAGGGAACCCCAAGGAAGCGGGGAGCAGGAGTCAGAGAGACAGAGGGGACAGAAGAAACCCAGAGAGCAAGACCCTGTAAAGCCACTGAGCAAAGCTCACATGAATTCACAGACTGAAGGAGCAATCCCAGGGCCTTACACCAGCTGGCACCAGGTCCTCTGCATACATACTAGAGTTTTCAGTTTAGTATTTTTATGGGACTTCTGAAAGTATGAACGAATGGGACTCTGAGTCTTGTGCTGTCTCTTGGGGCTTTTTTACTTTCCTGTTGCTTTTTTCCCCCTTAATTAAGAGATTTTTTAAAATTCATTTTACATACCAACACCGATCCCTCCCTCTCTCTCCTCCAGCTCCCTCCCAGCCTTCCTCCCCTCTGCAACCGACCACCCCCCTATTCCATCCTCCAAAAAGGTAAAGCCTCCCATGGGGAGTCAGCAAAGCCTGGTACATTCAGTAGAGGCAGGTCCAAGCCCTTCCCCCTGCCTCACGGCTATGCAAGGTGTCTCACCATAGGCACTGTGCTCCAAGAAGCCAGCTCATGCACCAGGGATAGATCCTGATCCTACTTCCAGGGGTCCCCTTAAGCAGATCAAGCTACACAACTGTCTCGCTTATGCAGAGGGCCTAGTCCAGTTCATGGAGGCTCTACAGCTGTTGGTCTAAAGTTCATGAGTTCCCACTAGCTTGGTTTGGTTGTCTCTGTAGGTTTCCCTATCATGATCTTGACCCCCCTTGCCCATGTAATCCCTCTTCCCTCTCTTCCATTGGACTCCTGGAGCTGGACCTGGTGCCCGGCTGTGGATCTCTGTATCTGCCTCCATCAGTTACTGGATGAAGGCTCTATGATGACTTTTCTGTTGCTTTGGATTGTTTTTTGTTTTATCTTACTGTATTTTACTTTGTTATGTTTGGTTGTTATCTCTTAGAAGCGTTTCTTTTCTAATGACAGGCAGAAAGGGAGTGGATCTGGATGGAAGAGGAGGTGGGGAGAAACTGGGAGGAGGAGGAGAAGGAAGGAAAATAATATTCAGATTCTACTGTATGAGAAAAGAATCTATGTTTAATAAAAGGGAGTAAAATAGAAATGATACTGATTAAAAAGCAGGGTGGGAAATTCAGTGAGTGAAGCTATCTCAAGCATCTCAGCATGGCATCAGCCCTGTCTTCTAAGGCACCGACAGAAGGCCTGATCAACGATTATTGCAAGATCGCTCAGGTAGTGTGTCTCAGGGTGACTGTTGCTCTGATGAAACACCATGACCAAAAGCAACTTGGGGAGGAAAGGGTTCATTCTGCTTACACTTCCGGGCAACAGTCCATCACAGAGGGAAGCAAGGGAAGAACTCAAGCGGTGCAGGAACCCGGGACAGGAACTGATGCAGAGGCCATAGGGGAACACAGCTTACTAGCTTGCTCCTCATGGCTTGCTCAGCCTGCTTTCTTGCACCAGCCCGAGTGTGGCACTGCCCAGGATAGGCTATATCCTCTCCCATCAATCACTAATTAAGAAGATGCCCCACAGGCTTGCCTGGCTACAGCCCTATGGAGGCACTTTCCCCCTGATCTTCCCTTCTCTGAGATGACTGCAGCTTGTGTCAAGCTGACATAAATTTTCCAGCACAGGTAGGTTTTGTCCATACAAAGTTGTCTGATCACTAGTTTTGATGCTTGTACAAGATGTTTATGCATCAGACCTGTTTCTGGAATCTGAAGTGTTTGGGGGACAAAATTACCCAGAGCAGAGGACATAGACACAAAATGGAACTGGAGACGCCAAGCTTTTATTCTGCGCTCTGCAGCAAGCAGCCTCATTCTCCGATGCTTGGAGCCTGCTTGGGGTCCACTGGAGTAGCCAGCCCACATGCAGGCAACGTTAGAGGGAGGAACGGCACAGACCCTTCTATATACATCCATCCTGCTAGACCAGCCCTCCAGTGGGACTCGGGTATCTCTCCACCTGTCCTCTTGTTGACAAGCCCCAACCCAGCTGGTGATTGACAGGCTGAAGAACAGGCAAGTCAAAGAAGTTCTGGGCTACCTCCTTGGAAAGCTGCCCAAGGACCAAAGTCCGTGACTATCTCTACTTTCCCTCACTCCTGTGCCTCCTCCTCTGCCTCTCTGTTACAACTGTTCATGTATCTTTAGAAATAAACATAAATTGGCATTTTCTGTTCTTCACACTGTAGACACTCTCTACTTGAGTATCCATCCTCAGTAGATCCCAAACTACAGTAGATGTAAGGGTTGATGTCAGGGACACCTGTTAGAAAACACACTTCAGGCCTCATGTTGAACAATTACAGCTGAGTGACTCTGGGGTAGGTTGCTAGAATTTAGGAACCTTGCCCCAATGTCTGCTGATTCAGCGAATCAAGAGGCCATTTGCATGTCTGGTGTGTTAGATCAGAAGAGGTCTTTGAAGAGAGAAACTGAAGAAGATATCAGAAAATGGAAAGATCTCCCATGCTCTTGGATAGGTAGGATCAACACAGTAAAAGTGGCAATCCTACCAAAAGCAATCTACAGATTCAATGCAATCCCCATTGAAATCCCAACACATTTCTTCACAGACCTTTAAAGAACAATACTCAACTTCATAGGGAAAAAAACAAAAAAAACAGGATAGCCAAAACAATCCTGTATAATAAAGGAATTTCCAGAGGCATCACCATCCCTGACTTCAAGCTGTACTGTAGATGACAGTAATAAAAACAGCTTGGAATTGGCATAAAAACAGACTTGTCTATCACTGGAATCAAAGTGAAGACCCTGACATTAACCCACACACCTATGAACACCTTATTTTTGACAAAGAAGCCAAAACCGTACAATGGAAAAAAGAAATCATCTTCAACAAACAGTGCTGGAATAACTGGATGTCAAGATGTAGAAGATTGCAAATGGATCCATATCTGTCGCCATGCACAGAACTCAAGTCCAAGTGGATCAAAGACCTCAGCATAAATCCAGTTATACTGAACCTGATAGAAGAAAAAGTGGGAAGTAGCCTGGAACACATTGGCATAGGAGACCACTTCCTTAATATAACACCAGTAGCACAGACACTGTGAGCAGCAATTAATAAATAGGACCTGAAACTGAAAGCTTCTGTAAGGGAAAGGACACAGTCAATAAGGTAAAACATGATAAAACATGCAGTCTACAGAATGGGAAAAGATCTTTACCAAATCCACATCTGACAGAGGGCCGATCTCCAAAATATATAAAGAACTCAAGAAACTAGACATCAAAATACCAAATAATCCAATTAAAAAATGGTAATGGATCTAAAAAGAGAATTCTCACCAGAAGAATCTCAAATGGCCAAAAGACATTTAAGGAATTGCTCAACATTCTTAGCCATTAGGGAAATGCAAATCAAAATGACACTGAGATACCATCTTACACTGTCAAAATGGCTAAAATAAAGAAGCTGATGACAGCTTATGTTGGAGAAGATATGGAGCAAGGGGAACACTCCTGCACTGTTGGTGGGAATGCAAACTTGTACAGCCACTTTGGAAATCAGTATGGTTTATCAGAAAAGTGGGAATC